CATTTTCACACCTTTTGAAAAGATATGCATTATTTATGAAGAATGCAAAATAGGTCGTTTTTGGCCATTTTCAGGCAAAAAGTATGGGCCATAGCCCATGGTTTTGATCAATTTTTGCTCATTTTCACACCTTTTGAAAAGATATGCATTATTTATGAAGAATGTAAAATAGGTCGTTTTTGGCCATTTTCAAGAAAAAAGGATGGGCTATAGCCTATGGTTTTGATCGATTTTGGCCCATTTTCACACCTTTTGAAAAGATATGCATTATTTATGAAGAATGTAAAATAGGTCGTTTTTGGCCATTTTCAAGCAAAAAGGATGGGCTATAGCCCATGGTTTTGATTCATTTTGGACCATTTTCACACCTTTTCCAATATAATGCATTTTTTATGAAGAATGTAAAATAGGTCGTTTTTGGCCAATTTCAGGCAAAAAGCATGGGCTATAGGCCATGGTTTTGATTGATTTTGGCTCATTTTCACACTTTTTCTTAAAGTATGCATTATTTTCTGAAGGATGCAAAATAGAAAATCTAAGCCATATTTTGCACTTGTTATGTATGACCTTTAAGCGTTGTTAATGTATAAAAAGAAAAACTAAGGACATCAATAATGAGAAATTATTTTATGTTGATAAGAATTGTTACAAATTGTTAAAAAGTGAAAAGAAAAAGATACAAAAATATGTTAATCACTGTTGATTTGATTTAAGGTCGAAATGAAAATTGAAGAATTCATTCAAATATTCAAGTGAATCTGAATATCTTTCATTTTGGTTTGAAAAAATAAGAATTTTAAATTGATTTTAAAAATACAATATTGTATTATCTACAGTGCAATAACTAAGTCCCTGGATTGGAGCCATGTTGGATGACCAACAGTTAGAATATTSTCCAAGGTAATACTTGAAAGTCTATTAATGTAGTGCTATCAAACATGGRTTGTAACTCATCTCCAAGAGTATGGCTGGCTTGTCATACATAACTTGAGTTGGATGAATGATAACCATGTTCTGAACTCTGTTGACCTGTAAATATAATATTCGCCTCATTCAGAACTGCTATAAAGAGACAAAGGATAAATAGAATACAATGACATTATAGTTGAATAGACCATTTCACGGATCCCGTTACTCAACCTCAGCCTCGTCAGCGTGTAATATATTCTTTAGAAATTGCCTACAACCCGTGAAATTTTTAAGTGTTTTAATTGTTCGTTGATGTGTAAATTCCTTTCATTACTGCGGACTGTAGTCGAATGAAATGGCCTATTGTTGTTTTTGTAATAAGCTTGAATCTTGAAAACTCAACAAACTAACTACATACCTCTACCTTTCGATCTTCGTTTTCTTTCAAACTCTTTCATAAAGCTTGGTTTTTCTCTCACTTCTTCTTCACTGTCTTCAGACCTTGCTGGCTTCTCAAAACGTTCAAATGTTTCAATTCTTTCAAACTAAAAGAAACAGTAACAAGGAGGGAAATATCTAAAACACTGATAATAATGATGAGGATAATGGTGATTGATGTAATGCTGATGGAGATGATAACAGTGATTATGATGCTGATAAAAGTAATGATGGTCATAGTATAGTGATGACAGTGAAGATGGTGATGACAGTGAAGATGGTGATGACAGTGAAGATGATGATGACAGTGAAGATGATGATGACAGTGAAGATGATGATGACAGTGATGGTGATAGTGATGATGGTGATGAAAGTGATGATGATGGATGATGGTGACAGTGAAGATGGTGATGACAGTGATGATGAATGATGATGACAGTGATGGTAATGATGATGATAATGATAACAGTAATAATCTGGTTGATAAAAGTGATGATGATGACAAAATACCAAAGAGTATTTTCGCATTACCTGAATATCACCATTGGATTGCGTTCTGTTGTAGATATTCCGCCTTTTCTCAGCTAATTCTCTCATCCACAATGGTTCTACTTGCGTGACTATACGAGGCTCATTCTCTTTGTTCGATTGAGAACCAGAAGACATTGTTTGATCTGGCGTCCCTTTATAAAAGAAAGAGAGTGAGATAAAGAAAGAAAGAAAAAGGACATACAGAGAAAGAAAGGGAGGAAGGGAGGGAGGGAGAGAGGGAGGGAAAGGGAGGGAGAGAGGACGTATTAGGAACGAAGGGCCGGGAGGTAGGGAGAAAAGGAATGAGGAAGGGAGGGAGGGAGAGAGGGAGGGAGAGAGGGAGGGGGAGGGAGGGAGGGAGGAAGAAAGATGACACTTGATATAATAATAATAATTAGTAGCAAATGACTATTTTAAGAGTATGACATGATGATGACACTTTGGCCCTCCGGCTATCTAACATTCCAAATACAAATATAAAATATATACATAAATATAGCTATATCAATAGTTCTACTGATTTGATAATGATTATGTTATAACAGATATATATTAAGGAATTCAAACTATAATGAAGTAAGAGTACCAACCCAAATCTCTTGGCACGTATCTATGGGTTTTCTGTCTCTCTATCAACTCTTGCTTCCATGATGGTAGAACCTGTCCAGGCTGTTCTGCTTTGTAGGGGTAGTCCAGTGGTCTGTCTGTCATCATCACAGTCTTGACTTTTTGAGGAACTTGAGATTCCTATTGTTATTACGACATATCCTTTACAATCATTTACGTCACGTGTTTACATCTCCATGGCAATGCATTGTGGAAAGATTATACAATAAAAAGGTGTTGTTACCCCCCCCCCCCCCATCAGAAGTATCCGATAATGATAAGGGTGCCATCTAATATGAGCACCGTAAGCCAGCCAATCAGAGCACGCATTATATCTCACCTATTATAACGCAGTAAAGAGTTATATGAGATTCTGTTTAACAATACAAACGTGACGGAATTCTACGGAATCATCAACAGGCATAAATCTACATCAAATGAGTGCTGGGACGTTTTCATGATCAAATGAAAGCCATTCTGGATGGTATACACTGCTAGAATATACCAAACACTATCCATGATGAATGTCAACGAAAAAAACGTATGTCATGGCAGACTGATAAACACGCGCTTATGGAGTGCTTTAATATGACCTTAATTACTGTGCTTTTATGGATTTACCTTATCATAGTGCGGTTAAGGTGCTTGATGCAGTACTAATAGAGGTCAGTTACACCCCTCAGTAGCGTAGTACCTTATCTACAGTGACAGGTCAGT